GCAGTGTTCTCTAAATAGTGAAGAATCAATTAGAAAGTTAGATGACAATGTACACAAAATCAAATGCAACATCTTTATCATACTGACATCAAGTTCAAGAATTTGAGCAGACTTCTCTGCATTCTGAAAAAATTTTCTAGCAGTGTTTCCATTATTTGAAGACCCAGAGCCACCAGATGTTGGCATATCAATTATCAGTCCAACTTCATCACGAAACCTTATCTGGATTTTCTGTTTTCGTTCTTGAATAATTTTCTTTTCAGATATAGTTCTTGTAGCCCACTTTTTCACTGTCAATTTATAACTAATTTTAAGAAGACATTCCATGCTTTTAATCCAAGCATGGAGAGTTGAAAGACCGAAGCAGAGACCTATCTCTGTCAATGGCATATTTTTAGCTGCATTAAGATCATTCATTTTTTTTGGGCTGCATCCACAAACAGAACAACACTGAGAAGATGTAGTTGCTGTAGATAATGCTGTAGCAACTTTGCCGTCCACCATCGTTATTTCAATTTTATGAAGTATTGTTAAGTTTTCACAAAATGTTAAAGACAAATTTGCAATTGAATTGTTAATAAACTGATTCTCTTGTTTCAAAACTTCAATGGTTTCTTTTTTAAATGAAAATCTTATTGGTCTGCAATATAAAGTTGAAGATGGATGTGGATTAGACCAAATTATTATTTTTTTATCATTAATGAATCCAAACAACTGAAGTGGAACAAAACAAGAAATAAACAAACTAGCTTCTTCTAAAAGATCTCTGTTTTCTTTCTCAACTGTTACTTGATTATAAATCCTTTGGCTAGTTGATCCATCAAACCCAACTTTAGAATATAAAATCAACCTTTCAAGATCATTCATTGAATCAATAACTTGTTTCTGCAACTGTATTAGGCGTATTGCTGTATGATCGACTAATACTTGAAAGTTTATTTCTGCTGAAAAATCATTTACAGTCCATAATGTTTTTTCAGGAAGACACTGTTCTTTAGCAGCACGAACATCATTGTAAGCAGGATAGAGATTACAACCTTTGCTCAAAGCATTATTTCTCAAGCGTTAAAAATCAGATTTGCTCATATCAATATCTAATATGAGTGCTAGAGCTTCATTTAGAGTGTTTTGAGTATGTTCTGTATCAAAAGGTTGCTTAATAGATAAACTTCGAACTACTTTTGCATCCTTTCTTTTGCTATCTTTAAAAAGATTACAACTACTAGCATACAACAGTTCATTTGATGAACAAGTTAATAAGTCCATAGCTGCTACTTTACGACTCTTTGTCTTATTTGATGAATCATCAAATAATTTTACAGGTCGACCACTAACTATAGATTCAGTTTTATTATCCTGATTTTTAAATGACTTAATAAAGTCTTTTTGAAGCCATACTGAATTATGTTTCATAAAGTTTTCATCAATTCTTTTACTTAAAGACCAACGTTTACAATACTTGGACAAAAAGGTTACAAACTGAGCATCAAATTCAGAACAGTATTCACGAATAAAATTGTAAACATAAAGTTTTTCTTTTTCATTAGACATAGATAAACCATGCTGTCTTATGAATTGATGAATTTGATATCTTGTGATGGTTGACATATTACTAATAATAATATTATTAGACTAAAATAATATAAACATTAAAAAGTTGTATTAACATATATATATATATATATATATATATATATATATATATATATATATATATATATATATATATATATATATATATATATATATATATATATATATATATATGTATACGTCTTTGACTATTTGCGCCATTTTTTATTTTGATTATTAGTTTAATTGCGAAATACTTTTTTATAGATATTTAAAAAATAAAGTTTTTCGAAAAAAATTTTTGACATGATTAATAGCAGGCTTATATCAGGTAGAACTCAAAGTTATTAAAAACTGCTTTTTCAAAACAAAATTTTGTTAATATGTTGTTACAAGAAAGTCAAAAATAATTTTTAAAAGATATTTATTTGTTCATTAGATATTGGACTTCACAGTTTGACAAATATTGATAAACGCATTTTTATAGTTGAAATTTGAAAAAAAAGTCTAATTTCCCATGTTTATTTCATTTCATTAATATATATTAGGTAGTTAAAACTTATATATATATATATATATATATATATATATATATATATATATATATATATATATATATATATATATATATATATATATATATATATATATATTAGGTAGTTAAAACTTATATATATATATATATATATATATATATATATATATACATACATATATATATATATATAAATATATATATATATATATATATATATATATACATACATATATATATAATATATATATATATATATATATATATATATATATATATATATATATATATATATATATATATATATATATATATGTATATATATATATACATATATATATGTATATATATATACATATATATATATATATATATATATACCCAGCCAACAAGCTGACATGGGCCCCATCTAATTTTTACCTGGGCTACGTGGGCTGATCTGGGCCAGGGTTAGCAATATAGGTTCGACATGGGTCTTATGTGGTACGCCCATCAAACCGGCCACTGCGAAGCGGCCGGCCTATCAATATACTATAGTATGATCGGCCATGAAATATTTTGTATCAAGCCGAAATTAGGCAAGTAATTTCTATAGTGAATTTTTTCCTAAATTTGTCTTAATTTCTTGTATTTGATTTGAAATTTATTACAGTAGAGATGTCTAATAAAGTATATAGCGAGCGAAGTCGACGACGTCACATCCGTTCTAGGGTAGATGAGCATTTTCGCATTGCAGCTGAGAAATCTCTTAATGTTGCTCTAGCTGAGGAGGATTTAACTTTAGAGATAAAAGCTGTTGATGGTCTTGAATATCAGAATGGAATTGATTATGAGGGAAATGTTGCTGATGAAGATTACTTAGTAGGAAGTTTGATGGAAGTTGAAGATATTGATCTTTGTGTAGAACACTATAATGTATACTTTGATGATAATGATTTATCTGATGAATTTGAAGAACACAAAGAAGTTGAGCAAGAACCAGATTGTAATGTTCGAGAGCGGTTAGCAGAATGGGCAACTCATTACAATATCTCACATGCAGCCACAAATGCACTTCTGGTTATTTTAAAGCCACTTCTTTTAGATATCCCATCTGATGCAAGATCATTATTATCTACCCCAAAAGTAACTGATATAAAGTCTGTTGGAGGTGGTCAATACTACCATTTTGGAATATCTCATTCTTTATCTTCAGTTCTTAATGCATCAAAAATATCTTTGAATGACATACCAGGTATACTTACTCTTCGTATAAATATTGATGGTGTACCTTTATCTAGAAGTTCAAATTTATGCCTCTGGCCAATCCTAGGAATGCTAAAAGAAATACCCAGGCTAGGTGTATTTACATTAGGCATATACTCTGGAAAATCTAAGCCTAATTCTGTAGATGATTATTTACGGGCTTTTGTTGATGATATGCTTACAGTGGTGAAAACAGGCATACAATTTCAAGGTAAGTATATAAATGTTGCTCTACCTGATGCTTTTATTTGTGATGCACCTGCACGAGCATTTTTGAAATGTACCAAGGGTCATACAGGGTATTATGGCTGTGAGAGATGTTCACAAAAAGGGGAGTACCATAATAATCGTGTGATATATCCGGAATTTGATTCCCCTTTAAGAACTGATGTTCAATTCCATGAACTTATTGATGATGGGCATCATAATGGCAAGTCACCTTTACATGACACAGGTATTGGTCTTGTTAGTCAGTTTGTTTTAGATTATATGCATCTTGTGTGTTTTGGTATGGTTAAGAAACTTATTCACCTTTGGATGCCTGGTAGGGGAACTGGAATGATTTCTGCTGCAATTGCAAATATCATATCAAGTCAACTCAACTCAGTTAGATCCCATGTACCAACAGAGTTTGCACGAAAACCAAGATCACTTTTTGAATTTCGACAATGGAAAGCTACTGAATTCCGTCAATTTTTATTATATACAGGGCCAATAGTATTAAAGAATAGATTGCCTCCTTTGTTATACAAAAATTTCATGATTCTTTCTGTATCAATAAGACTTCTTTTAAGTAATGAACCCACTTCTGATGTATGTGATTATGTTGAAAAGCTTCTTAAATCTTTTGTTGAAGGGCTTGCTAAATCTTATGGGATCCAAAACTTAGTTTATAATGCACATAGTCTGACACATATTGTACAAGATGTTCGAAAGTATGGGTCCTTAAACAACATCTCATGTTTTCCTTTTGAGAATTACAATGCTTATTTAAAAAAATTAGTAAGACGACCTCAAAACCCTGTTGCCCAGATAGTTCATCGCTGTGCAGAAAAGCAGCAAGCTGTTGAACAACAGGCTGAGGAGGGAAAAATAGGCGTAAGAAAATTATCTTGTAAGAAATCTCATTTTGATGGACCAATACCTGACACTTACCATAATTGTTATCAGTTTAAGAAGTATAATGGTCATTTTTTGGTTTCTGAATCTAAACAAGATAGCTGTTTTGAAATAAGTGGTACTATAATTGCAGTAAAGAATATCCTTGTTAATCCTTCAAACGAAGTTCTGGTTGTATATCAGAAATATCGTAGTATGGCATCTTTTTTTGATTACCCATTGGATTCAGCATTACTTGGAATTTATGTAGTAGGAGATCTTGAGGACCAATTACATGTGGCTTCAGTTAATTTATTGACTAGAAAATATATGCTAATCCCTATTGATCAACATTATGTTGCTATGCCACTGGTACATAACGACTATGGAAAGTATCTTTGAATTTTACTTGTATATTGAGCCAGCATCAATGATTGTAATTTTTTTATTTTGCGTGACCATAGAGTCATAAGTATAGTTCTTGCTTAAAGTATTTAAATAGCAGTTTTCTGCATCTTTTCTTCCCTACTTTCATGATGTACAAAGTTACCTTGCCAAAAGCATATTTGCTTTTATTTTGGCTTAAGCTTTTTTAAACAAAACTGGTACAAGTGATTGATCAATCTCACTCAAGGCAGGTATATTACTTCTTGGTCAGTAATGTTTTATGCTTTGATCTACCTGTTCTGTAATTTTGTTAATTTCACAAAATCCCTTATGATATTATTATGTTTTCATAGATATATTCATGTAAATATCTTTTATTGTTTTATATCTAGCAAAATATGGTTCTCTTTGCCATTGTTGAGTTTGTAGCGACATTAACTATTGCCATCATACCTACAAAATGGTTTGCCTCAAAGGAGGAGGATGTCTGCTTCTGGCCACCTGCTGGCGCAAATATCAAGCATCTTGTTCTTAAAGAGGTAACACCAACAGAATCTTGGAGCAAATTCAGCATCAGGTGCTTGGGGAAAGCAAGTATGTTAAGTTTTGTTTATTTATTTATTTATTTTTTTCTTTTACATACTTATAAGCTTATCAAAGTTAGCTTTGTTTTCATTTTAAAATTAAAATATAAATTTAGATTAAAAAGTGTACATAATAATAAAAATATATTTTCATTTAGCAAACTATGAAAGGGCACGTGAGAAACTCCAGAAAGCAGAAACTACCTCTGACATCCAGACGACAGATACAGAGCTGCAAAAAGAGAGAAGGTAAATGTTCTTTAAATTTTTTCTTGCATACCCTAGTTTTATTTATGGTGTTGCAATCCTTCATCATTCTCACATACTTTTCTTACTAGAAAAGTATTTTTGTTATTTTTAAGATGATTTTTTAAGTTGTTTGAGGTAACAGCAGTTCTTTAAGTATATGTCTTTTTCTGATCCTTTTTCAGGCCTAAGTTAAACAAAAGAGTACTGCCTTCGGACTCTGAGTCTGAATGTGATGACATTGTGGTTCCACCACCTCCAAAGTCCTTCATCCCTTGTTATCCCCTGTCAACATCATCCTCTCTGGTTTCATCACATTCACTAGTTAGTTCTCAGTCACCTTCCAACTTCAACCTTCCTCGTCCTTCTGAAACGCTGTACACTACAAGACCTTCAAATTTACTCAATGATTCTACTGGTATGTATTGGTCTTGATATTGTGGCAGATTTTATTCCTTTACAAAACAATTTTGTGTATTTAATTATGTTTGATTGCATTATAATACTGAACTGAAGGATTGGTAAATGGTCTTTTGTTATGCATATCGAAAGTATGTTTTGTTTAAAAGAGGTGTCTTTTACCTCGTAATCTGTAATATATTAAAGAATACTATTTATTGTTAAAAAAGATTTTAATTTTTTTTATATTTTTAGAAATATATTTCAGGTCAGCTCAATAGAATTAAAAATCTTTTGGGGAGAGTCTTAAGACAGCTAGAAGAAGTTAAAGAAACTCAGCGTGTACAAATGACCATGTTTAGAAGTCAACAACCAGTTCAAAATGTTGCAATACTTCCAGAAGGAGCCATTTTTCCTTTGCTAACAGAAGAAGATTTTACATTAATGGAAAGAAAACTTGATGACATCAATTTCTTGAATAGTGTAGTAAGTAGTATTAAACATAATCTATGGATTCTGTCTAAATAAGTTATCCACCCACCATTTATAAATTTTAGTTTATGTTTATTGTACATGCTACAAAGCCCCTAAGAAGACATGTTGTCCCATCATATATACTGTGTTCTCATGTAAACCTCTGAGGGCAAGTATAAATGATAAGATGTATATGATGATACAGTATATACAATGAGAAATATAAATCAAAGTGTTCTGTCTGAGAACTTTATTTAATTAATTTTAAAAAATGATAGCAGGACTATGATTCTACTTTCATAGAAAATTTTAAATTTATTTTTAGGTGAATTTTATTGCTGATATTGGGGGCAATACTCTTGAAGAAGCAACTAAGCGGATGATGGCTTTTGTGATGAGCAACAACTTAGCCATGAAATTTAACGTTTTTGGTCGTGGTGGCAAGAGAGGGTTTGGGTCCACCCGACTTTTTGATACTGTGTATAGTAAGTGCAATCTTATCTAATTAACACTCCAATGATTCTCTCATTTCGAATTTTCAATTAATATTATAAATTAAATAGTTTTAGAGTAATAACCATGGTATCTTTCTATGCGAGTTCCTTATTTTCTTCCTTACTTACCAGAGTTTAAAAAACAAACACTTTTAAGGATGCTAAATCAATTACATGCACTATTAATGTTGTTAATAGTTTTATTACATTTTGTATTTCAGAGGCAATTAAAGGAAACCAAAAAACAGCTGAGGTCAATAAAAAAGACTTTGAGAAGGCAGTAGGTAAATAGTGATAAGTTTCTTGTATATTTAATCTCTTTGTTGTGAAACTCCTACTTTTATTAGGGTGTGAATTAAAAAAGCTTGCTTTCATAAAAGAACTCTTCCCCTTAAAAACTACACTAACAAATTTGCAGAACTATATTGTAAAATTTCTTTGTATCCATCTGTAATAAGCTGAAAATTTTCCTGTTTTAAAAGTTACCTTTAGTCTCCTGGTATGGAAAGGTTTATCCACAAAATTTAAATCTGGAGTTAAAGAGGATTATCATTTTGTCATCACTTAAAGTGAATTAATTAATATAACTGTTCTAAATGCAACGAAAAGTAACAATTTTGTATGTTTTTATCTTAGGAAAGTGGCTTTTGGGAAGTCGAGACCGCGACGGTAACCGTGCCAACCGAGTGAGGGCTTCGGCAATTGCTGAATAATTCTTTTTATTCTCAATACAGTCACTTACAACATCCATGTATATTTTTTGTGTTTCCCAATGATATTCAAAAGCTTTGCTTTTTTTCCCAAACCAAACAGTCTCACCCAAAGTGGCTCGAACTTGTTTTAAAATCTAGATTTATGCGCAATTTGCTTGACTAACGTCATGTATTGACTTAAAATTTAACTACTTAAAGTCAAAGCGTCAACATGCTAAGTTATGTTTAGTTATAATGAAGTAATCTTAGCAACAGAAAAGCGCAAATAAAGTATTGTTGAAGTATCTTTTAAAGAAAAATCAAATGAAAGAGTAGGATTAACAATTTTCGCCGAACCGTGGTTAGCCCACATGGGACCCAGTTGGAGCCCGCGGCCAATTTAACATGGGCCCCACATAGTTATTCTACATGGCTCCCATGTATCGGCCCATCAAGACCCCATATGGGACCCAGCTATCCGAGTTGGCTGGGTATATATATATATACATATATATGTATATATGTATATATATATATATATATATATAATATATATATATATATATATGTTTATATACATATATATGTATATATATATATATATATATACATATATATATATATGTATATATATATATATATATATATATATATATATATATATATATATATATACATATATATATATATTATATATACATATATATATATATATATATATATATATATATATATATATATATATATATATATATATATATATATATATATATATATATATATATATATATATATATATATATATATATATATATATATATATATATATGTATATATATATATATATATATATATATATATATATATATATATATATATATATATGTATATATATATATATATATATATATATATTATATATATATATATATATATATATATATATATATATATATATATATATATATATATATATATATATATATATATATATATATATATATATATATATATATATATAATAGACAGACAGCTTGTTTAAATATCATGATTCAAAAGTACGCAAAAAATGTTTTTAATTTGTTATTTTTATTCATCATTTTTATCAAAAACCTTTGGCAGTCTCTCTATATATTTATCAAATATTTTTTTTTCATTTAGTAATGAAACTTAATATATAAAAAAATTAAAGGAAATGGTGAGTTTGTGTATGATCTTATTATTACGGAAGAGAGAAGTTGGTTAAAATTTTATGACAAAGAGACAATGTACATGACATAATTTGATGACAATGTATATGACATAATTTATGATCAGTCCTTCAGTTGCATAAATGGAAACAAATAATTTAACAAATTATGCAAATATTATTTTTAATTTGTTAGTTAAAAGTATTATTCTCAGGTTTTTAATATAATTTTTTGAATTTTTTGGTGTGCGACAGAAGTAGTGTTGAAAAATAAACTTTAGAATACCTATGCAAATATTAAATAAGTCTAATGGCGCTAAAATTAAGATAATTGATGCAAACAGTCAAAAAAAAATAATTTTCCCAATTTATTATAGCTGTTTTCTTAGAAATTTTAATATTGTTAAAAAAATAAAAATAGAAATGATGTCTCAATAAAAATATTATTTTTCAAAAAAACAATTTAGTACATTATAGCTGGTACATGTAATTAAGTATTTATTAGTTACAAAAATATATTTTTTCAAGTCAGTCGTTGTGTGTACATTACCTGCCCCAGTGGGCACACGACGTTATTTCGACGTCGATTTACAGTTAATTTTTAGTCGCGACGTCGTATAACCAAAAATCAACGTTGTATCAACGTTGAAAAATTTGTTTAAAACTATCAAATAAAATCAACGTTGATTCCACGTTAATTCAACGTCTATATTACGAGTTCGATCGTTCGTAATTGCAATATGATAACTAAAATACGCATGCGTGACTTAAAATTTTTTTATCAACATAACAAATATCGAGTAAAAACTTAACAAGTTACTTATTAGCCCAATAAAAACAAGTAAAGTCACACATGTTAATAAATTTGGTCATCTGTTGCCTTTTTATAAGGTTTTGAATTTGACAATTTAACAATAATACATGGCTTAACTTGTGATGCAGTTAGTTAGGTAAATATTAAATGGATATTTCTTTATGACCGTATTATTTCATGAGTGTGGATTACAAGTAGAGACTACTTGATATATTATATAAATATAAATATATTTTTATATTTATATAATATATCATGTTTTTCTTTTTATTATATATATATATATATATATATATATATATATATATATATATATATATATATATATATATATATATATATATATATATATATATATATATATAGTATATATATATATAGTATATATACTTATATTATGTATACTTATATTATATATGTGTATATACATATATAGTATATGCATATATTATATATGCATACTATATATATGTGTATATATATATATATATATATATATATATATATATATATATATATATATATATATATATATGTATATTATATATGCATATTATATATATATATATATATATATATATATATATATATATATATAATATGTTTATTATATTATATATGCATACTATATATATGTATATATATATATATATATATATATATATATATATATATATATATATATATATATATATATATATATATATATATATATATATATATATATATATATATATATATATATATGTATATTATATATGCATATTATATATATGTATATATATATATATATATATATATATATACATATATATAATATGCATATATAATATATACATACACTATATATGTATATATACATACATAATATAAATATATATAATGGATGATGTTTTACAAAATAATGATTTATCAAGCTTTTTTACCAATACATGTGATTTAAAGAGTTTAAATATTTTTTATATGAAAAAATTTTTATTAAATTTTTAAAGATTTTTCTTGTAAAGTTGTATAAAAAAGAATTTGTGAATGCTTCTTTAGTCCATAATATTGGTAGAAAGATCAACATAAAAATTTAGCAAATTTTAGCAACTGTATAATGTATCATAACGTACAGTTTATAGTTGTATTTTTCTGTTAGCTATTTTACATGAACAAATTTTTAATATATAAGTATTTTTTCTATTATAATTTCTACTATACTTTTCCAGTTGAAAAAGTATAGTAGGGCATGCAAAATGTTCATTCGAGCTGTTTGGATAGAAAATACAGAGAAATAAAGAGAGAAAATTTGATTGATAATTTTTTGTGCTGCTCGTCATCTTTAAATGTAATAAATTGTTTCAATGAAATGCATAAACCGCATCTAACTAATACAGATTTAAGCTGCTCAAAATTTAATGTCATGGAGATAATGTAATTTTTTTTAAACATAAACCTTAAGTCATTACTTTTTTTCCTTGTTTTTTTAACATGCTTTCATTCTGTATATGTTGTTTTCAGTGTTTAGATATATTCTTTATTATATATTCTTTATTATGTAATGTATTTAAAATATTTTTAAATTGAATGAATATTCTTAGATCATGAGTTATGTAATAAATTTGAATTTGCCTCTATAAGTGATACTCAGATAGAATCAGGTTCAGAAAACAGTAACTATTTCAAAAGATATATATATATATATATATATATAATATATATATATATATATATATATATATATATGTATGTATATATATATATATATATATATATATATATATATATATATATATATATATATATATATATATATATATATATATATATATATATGTATATATATATATATATATATATATTTATATATATAATATTAATAGTGCAATTTAAAATTTTTCTTTTATTTATAAAGTTGTACTTGATAAAAACAAATAAATAAAGATGAACATTTTGAATATTTATTGATTATTATGATAAATTATATAAAATACAGTCGTGTGACAATTTATTATGGCCACCCACAATTTTTCAAAATTATCAAGTTTCAAAGTCTATTATTTTAGTATTTTTTTGTGATTTATGTACTCAAAGTAACTTTTATTTAAGAAATGGGTATTTTTTTGACAAATAAAAACATTTAACATATTGTTTATTATTTTATTATTAAAATATTATTAAATAAATTTTATTATTCAATTAAATAAATTTTATTATTCAAATATTACTGCAAATATATTCAAGATCAATGTTTGGTGATTCCTCCTTTGCCTCTATAATTGCAGGAACCCTTTTTGGCATACTTTTAATGCATTTTTGATCCATTTCCTTCAATTCTTTGTTAAAGTTCCAATGTTGAATAATTCTTTCTATTAAATACACTTTATTTGTAATAATTTTTTCAGATATTTGCTTCTTTAGGAGCGCCCAAACATTTTCTATAGGATTTAGCTCAGGAGAGTTTCCTGGCCAATCAAGTAATGGAATATTTTGTTCTGATAGATATTTTTTAACTGATTTAGCTGTGCGACATGGTCATGCCCTGTCCTGCATGAAGGCTTTTTTTTCACCTGGACTAAACTATTCTGCCAATTGTGACAACAATCTTTGTTGCAGCATTTTTATATTGTAACTGTAACATTTTTCATTCTGCAATATAGAACCTTCCTATTTCTTTTACACATTTCATTGATCAGATCATCACAGAGGTGGGGTGTTTAACAGTTTGCATGATGCAGTCCAATAAGTATTTTTTCCCTTTTTTTCTTTTTAAAACTTAAAATTACTCTCGCTGCTAAAGCATACCTTCAAATATTATACAAGGATTGTTAAGTGAATATTGAATGAATATTTAAAGTTTGGTGTAAGAAAGTGGATATTTTAAATTCATCTAAATTAATTTTATTAATTACCAGTCATATGTTAAATTCCTATACTTTTTTGTCCACTCAAGCATTTTTTGTACAATTTTTGGTGTCAGTTTAGGCTTCTTAGCTGGACGTCGTGAAATATAACCAAGATTGTGTAGGCAATGTTGGACCGTTCTCTTCAACATTTTAACTCCAGATT